CTGCCATTTTTGTTTTGGATTTTTCCTGCTGATCTTTCTTTAAAGATATATCTTCTCACTCTAGCTGTTCCAGGTTGGTCTGCTTGTCCTTTCTGGTGGGAAAGTTCTGGATGGGGCTCAGAATTCCACCTAAGTTCCTATACACTGCAAAAGCTCCTCAAGAGGCCTTATTTCACTGGGCAAGTTCTAAAACCCCTTTTAGGTATTCTAATCAGTTTTAGGCTGAAGATGGGCTTACAAGCTTTCTGTGATCATGTTTCCCGACCTTCCTCTATACAATTCAAGTGTGTATTTTACAATAGTAAGCAAGGGAAACCAATATACATAAGACAGTCACGCATCTTAGTATTATTTTCCCCTCTTTAAACTATGCCATGCTCCCTGTATCTCAGAGCCCTGTTGTACCAAGGTTATACATGCATCACTATTTACCTCTGTCCCATTAAACCCATGCAAACCTGTCTCAGTGTTCCCCTATCTATATTGTTCTTCCACCCCTTCCCCTTCTTGTATTTGCCCTCCCCAACCCGAACTATGATGTGTCTGCCCCCAACCCTGTGCTCTACCATTGCCTCCCTCCACCTGCTCAATCCTCCCCACAAGCCTCCCCTCACAGGTAACCAACAATTTTTTTTTTCCCCCTTTTAGTATGGGTATTTTTTCTTAAGCTTTTACAATAATGGTCTCATGCAATATTTGTACTTTTGTGACAGGCTAATTTCATTCAGCATAATGTCCTCAAGGTTCATCCATGTTAATGAGGTGGCTTGCAGCTTCCTTGTTATTCTTAAAGGTAGCATAATATTCCATTGTATGTATGTACCAAAGTTTGTTTATCCATTCTTCCATTGATGGGCACTTAGGCTGTCTCCATCTCTTTGCTATTGTGAATAGTGCTGCTATGAACATTGGTGTGCATAGATCTACTCATGTTATGGCTCGTATTTCTTGTGGCTATATACCAAGTAGGAAGGAGCTCTGGTAGCGTAGTGGCTACGAATCGGGCTGCGAACCTTAAGGTCAGCGGTTCGAAACT